GTGTTGCTGAGAAGTACTGAGAACTGTGGGCATTGTGATGGAAGTGTAGAAGAAGGGATCACCCCTACTAGTGTTGGAGTTCAGAGGATACTAGAGGTGCTTATCACTTTAGAGCGAGACATCTTGGAAGCTGTTTCATAGCTGGATATCTAAACTTGGAACATTTTGTGTCGCTCAGTCACATCACCAGTTTCTAAGATTCATTGTCTGAGAGATGAAGAACCTGCTGTGATGTTGGAGAAGGCAACCCAACTCAACTGTGGCTTCTAACCCGTCCTGGTGAAACACAGTGGTTGATGATGCTCAGGATCAAAATAATGGTGGGGAGGAGCTAGACTAAAGGTGTGGTTTTGAATCTTAGTATAGTGGTGATTCATTTAGTCTTTGTGGAGCCTTAGAAGGCTTGACTGACAGCTGTGCTGCACTTCAGTCTTCGCTCTGCAGCAGCATCTGCACAGATCTCAGTTCCTTGCAAATACACGTCGTCGTTGAAACCAGTAGCACTCTGCGTGGGCACTGGTTTCTGCTCACAGCTCTGTGTGCAGGATCAAGGCCTCTTGCTGTATGGGTTTTTTTTGTTGTTGGTAATAAAAACATTCTGTTTGTAGAACCTCCTGTTGGAATTAAACAAATTATGTTTTGAGAAAAAAGTAGAACAAAGCTTCACACCAAGCTGGGGTGGCTGGTATCAATGACATGCAAAATTTCAGTTGGAATAGCAAAGTCCTTTTCAAGTTGAAGAAGGCCCTATAAGTATTGTTTACAAAAAATAGCAGCTCTTTTTTCATCTTCTCCATTCCTGCAGTGTAGAAACATGTACACAGATTTATTCCAAATTTGTTAGAAATTAGTGTTTTCCCAACCCAAAGCACTTGTGCCAGATTTCAACCAGGAGGAATTTCTAAGGCTGATGTGTAAGCCCTTCAAGGGTGGAGCTTAGAATAGAGTGGATGCTTGGCCATTGACAAGCTGCTGCTCTTCAGGGTCTGTTTCTGGTTTGTAGTGACCTGAGCAGTCCCACAGAAGTTGTGGAGGTGGGGTGCTGCAGACATGCTCTGAGCCTGAATGCTGGACTCTTGTTGGGTCCCAGGTGATGGAAAGGGCTGTGGAGGGACTTGGTCCCTGCAGCTGTAAAGATGCCATGAGAAGAATGACCCAAACCAACCTAGTGCTGATGAGTCTCCTTCTCCTTCCAGATTAATGCAGTTATTTACATTATAGTAGTGCTGGGTTGTCTAAGCACCAGCCAGCTGTGTGGTGCCATTTTACTCACTTTACATAGATCTAAGAAAGTGTCTGGTGATGAAAATTCATATCCTTGGGGCCTGTGAGCAATTAGCTCTCTGCTGGGGATCTGGGGCTGTTGGATGGCTGAGAAGCCAAAACAATAGCATTAAAAAGCCTCTTTCTTTTTGAGTTGGGTTGTTGGGAGCCACTGGGCTCTTCTAGGAGCAGAGCAGAGAGTTTCATTCTGCAAAGGCAAGCTGCTGAAATTTGGGAGTGGGCCTTTTTCCTGTCCCAGCGGGTTTAGTCTATCACTTCTTGGATTTAATTATTTGCTTCTAAATAACAATGGGGAGCCAGGAGTTTTGTTTAACTCTGATCTCCTACTCCATCATACAGCCCCTTTCACACTGCAGTCATGCTCTTCAGCCCTCTCCATAGTGAAGCTGTTCTCCTCACCAGGAAGGGGGGCAGAGGAAAGCACACCTAAATCTGCAAGTCTCAGGCTGCTCTACAGTGACCTGCCCCTCTCCTGGCATGCCGAGGAACCTGACTGGGGGTTCAAGAACAGCCCCTGCAGTGGGTCACAGTGTTGGCTTTGTGCAGTGGTACTTGTACAGTGACTCCACCTGTGTGTTTGTACAAGTCTTAACCATCCCCAGGGTAGCATCCTGGATGCAGGCAGGGGCCCATCCCAGGGGATTTCCACCAGTCTGAGCCCTGGGTGCAGTGGTGTGTAATGAGCATACCCCTGTGGACCTGGTTATGGAGTTACAGCTCTGCTCCAGGCGATCCTGCTAACGGGAGCAGGTATGTGGGGATGTGCCCCATGTTGAAAGCAAACTTAATTATATTGAGGATGAGAACTCAGTGTCCAGCCCTTGATGGGAGTGCCTGGGACAGGCTGAGTAATGGATGGTCCTCCTCCTTTGGTCACTGCAGGAATGATTATTAGTTATCTGTCATATAACAGCTCTGTGGCCTCCGGGTCTGGCCTTATTTAAACAGGCTCTGAATAGCTCCAAAGAATTGCTTCCTCAAAAAAAAATCACTATTTTTGTATAAAAGTTAGTTATAAAACTTAAGCATAAATTTGCATAAAATGTTTCTTGTATTCTGTATGCCTCTCTTTCTTGAGGAGGGACTACACAGAGAAAGAGGGGGGAAAAAAACCCTATTTTTCCAAGAATTATGTCATCTTGGTGACAAAATTTATTAGTAGTTTTCTGTGTTCAGTGGACTATTGTTTTTTATCTTCCTATGTTTACTGCAAACACCATTAAAGCAAGGCACAGTTTATAGATGTTTTTTTAAAAGTGATGGTCTCGGTTGATTTGAGGTGATCTGTAACAGTGATCCTTTGCTTTTTAGGAGCCACTGGCTTCCCCAGTGCTTACATTTATTTGGGGGTGGTGGGGATTAGTCAAGTGCAGCAACATACTGTGGCTTTTGACAAGTGAAAGCATGAAGGGGTAAATTGTTTCAGTTCTTCCTCCTGTGCCTACCAGTTCTCAGCAGCTCAGGGTACATGCATGTTGAAGATCAGAGATGCTGCTTTACAGAGCTGTCATCTTAATGTTTTACCCAGCGCAACTGGGGAAGTGGTGGAGACAGTTTTGTTTCTTGCTGTCTGGTTGTCAGGGCCAATTAAGTGGTCTGGTCTTGGGAGGGAGGGGAAAAACAACCCACACAAGAAAATAGCGAATTTTTGTTGTTGTTTCTAGAACTGTTGCTACTAGCTTCTGAAAATATTGGTATTTCTTAGATTTTTTTTTTTTTTTTTTTTTTACAACAATCATTTTAACATCAGGAAGCCTAACTTTTGGGTTTAGCTCAATAGTATTTGATTTGTGTTAATGCAGGAGAAGTCATGTTGCTCTTCACCTAAGTATTGCACTGCCATAGAAAAATCACAAAAGAGGCACAGTAGCTATCAAACTGTCTCCGCCTAGATGATTGTGTTGTTACAGTAACCCAAACAATCCTTAATTAAATTTTCTCTGGCTGCCCTGAGTGTTACATTCACTGAAATGCTGTTTCATTATGTTTTTTAGGGCCGGTGTACCCGAGAGAACTGCAAATATCTCCACCCTCCCCCACACTTAAAAACACAACTTGAAATAAATGGACGCAACAACCTGATCCAGCAGAAGACAGCCGCAGCCATGTTTGCTCAGCAAATGCAGTTCATGCTACCAGGCGCGCAACTACAGCCAATTGTAAGTTACAGCAATGAATCGGGTTCACATCGCTCCGCATTTCTTTCCCGTTTGCTCATGGAGGCCCCAGCCCTGTGCTTGAGCTTGGGCAGTTGTCTGCGCTGCATGGAGCTGGGCAGCCTCTTCCAGAGGGATGTCTGATGCTGCCTCTGCATCTTCTTGAAAGCCGTGACTCTCCTTTCCTCTGATGACTAAGGAGCTGCAAGACTCAGGGTATCAAGTGCAAGGGTCTTACCACCAGGTGGATGTTTGACCAGTTAATTCACGTACATCCCAAAAGTTCCGAGTGGCTCGGTTCCAATGGATCCTGTTTTGGATAGCTGTTTTACACTAGGATGAGAATGCTGGAGTCTTTCCATGCTGTGGCAAGAACCAGCTGACTGCCTTGGACTAGATGCATTGTACTGGTAGGCTAAAATTGGGGAAGGTGAATCCTACCCAGGCCTTAATACTTTTTTATGTCTCAGAGCGAGACCCATTGCCCCAGCAGAGAGTTGTGCTAATGTCACAGCCCTGTCACTTGTTTTTCTTAGTAATGCTGTTTTATACTAACAGCAGGAAAGATTTGCTTCTCTTCAGATAGGGAGGGAAGCCTGTGGGAGATGGGTATTTGCAGAGTCGGTAGTTCAGAGGAACCTTCACTGCTTGTCCCTGTTTTTGCCTGTTGATTAAAACGGGTTTTCAGGCTGGAGAACCCTGTTATGCCAGGGAGAGGATGGCTTGTGTCTGCTAGTTGGTGTATCTAGAAGGGGGTGACATTTGTCAACTAAGTTTGAGTCTGTTGCTATGTGTATTTTAAGAAATGTCAGAGGTCTTGAAGCAGCTCTTCAGTGCTGACATAAATAAGCTGCACATTTTTAACTGAGAACTTAATTAGGAGTTCTCCATTTAAAATTGGTGCTGGATATCTTTCCTGGGGCAATATGCACTTGATGTGCAGTTGTTGGGTGATGTTCCTTGTGCTGTGCCACATGGGAGGTCTGGCTGGATCCCTAGCGCAAAATCTTCTACCTTGAAGGTGTACAAGTCTGTGAATCAGCCTGCACATTGTCTCCTGGGCTCTAATCTACAGCACCTGGCTTCTCTGCTCAAATGGGGCTTCAGACTCAGCATCTATCACCCTGGCTTTGAAAAGCTCATGTGTCTCTGGATTATTCTCACAAGAGACTGATGAAGGGTTCTTCCCTGTTGGAGGCTGTTGTGCTGTTTGGCGGGAAAAAAAAAAAAAAAGCAGCTTGTGCTGGAGCTGTATTTCAACAGGGAAGGATAGCCAGTGTCCCATCATGGTGATGCTCTGCTGCCATATGAGGGCATTTTCCCAGTCTGGTGTGTTTCTCTTGTCTTGTGAATGCTCTTCCACATTCACCCTCGCTCTTGTCATACTGTGTGTGTTAGCAGCTTTATCTTCACCTTGCCGTGTAAGCTAGGAAAATGCTGTTTATTCTTCCCATTTTGAAGATGGAAAAGTGAGGCAGAAGAGAAAAAGGGCCACAGAAAAAGCCGTTAGTTGCTCTGCACCTTAAGATCTAATCTTTATAGTCTATGCACCTCTTTTTGTGGAGTTCGAAAGTATGTGCACCTCAGAAGGAAATCCTGAATTCCCACAAAATTGTAGCACTAGTTTCCTAGCCCTGTACCAAAAGCAAACCTTTCCTGTTTGGGGTTTTCCTCTGTGGGGAATTCATAGTGGACACTTTGGCTGGCTATTCAAAACATCTTTGGGATTTCCTCTTTGGAAAGTTCCCATCTTCCCATTTTGCAATCTTGCAGGTCCAGTTCACTCCTGCAATTACACTCCTGCCTTTTAAATTGCCTCTGAGACTGAATCTGTTGGTTTGTCTGGTTAGTGCTCTAATTTTGGAGGTAACCTTATCTGATGACAAAGGTCCCTGATTTCTAAATTGTACCATGAGGGAGACATGGATGAAGGAGAAAAATAAAAATTTGTTCTGCAATGGCTGCTCCCTTCCTGCTTTCCCAC